TGCAGTACCAAAGATTAAGTTATAAACAATGCAAAGTACATATTAATATAAATTGGGATATAAAATACAGGCTGTTTTTATTTAGACACGCAGTTGTAACCTTATTTGTAAAGGACAAAACCACAAGGTAGAAATACAGAAAGAACACTGTAGTACTTGAATAATTATGCATCAGCGTCACATGGTGCCATGCCACATCTTTCTGCATCTCAAAAATGATTCACTTTAAATTCTAATTTCTATGTAATAAAATAGTTTAAAATAGTTTTTTTAAATAAATAGTTTAAAATAATACATTCGTATCTGAATTGTTTCAATAAACAAATTTACATAGGGAGTAATGTCAAATTATTTAATACAAATAAATGCATTGTTTAAATGGACCAATTGATTACACATGTAATCGAACAAACAAATTGCACGTTAAATCAAATTTAATAGTTTATCGATCGAAATGTTCAGCATTTATGGCAAAAAAACATATGATTTTGAATTAGAAATGTATAACAGTATAAGTTTGGCATGGATGTCTGAATGTTAAAAATAAAATAAAAACCGTGTATTAAATGTAACATTTTCCTCCTCAAAAAAAATGTAACATTTTTCATTTCAAAATTGCAATAAATGGTGCAAGTTAAGGGTGTATTCAATTATATTTTTGTAGATTTTTAAAGATTTTTATTAACTTTAGAAATAAGGTTCAAATTGGCCACTGAACGTAACCTGAAAATGCAATTAGGCCACTGAATGAAAAAAAAAGTGCAATTAGGGCATTGAACACTCAAAAAATGTGCAATTAGGCCACTGAACTCTCCAAACGTATGCAATTTTACCGGATAGCAAGTTACCATCAATTTTAGCAGGTTACCTGCTTACGTGGCAACTTAGTTGACATTTTTAATAATTTTTAAATAATTTTTAATAATTAATTTTAATAATAAATTTTATAAAAAAATTAGAAAAATTTAAATAAAAAATAAAATAAAGTCGTTTTTATTTTTTAAAAAAAAAAATTAATAAAAAGCTATTATTAAAATTTATTAAAAATTAATTAAAATTTATTAAAAATGCCAACTCAGCTGCCACGTAAGCAGATAACCTGCTAAAATTGAGGGTAACCTGCTATCAAGTGAAATTGCACATTTTTTGAGTGTTCAGTGGCCTAATTGCACTTTTTTTTCGTTCAGTGGCCTAATTGCATTTTCAGGTTACGTTCAGTGGTCAATTTGAACCTTATTCCTTAACTTTAAAAGTTTAAAGGTATTCAATTCAAACTTTTAGAGATTCTTTAAAAATTATGCGGTATTCAATCAAGATTTTTAAAGAGTCTTTAAAAGTCATACAGTATTTAAAAAGTTATGAATTTTTGTAGACTTTTTAATTTTAATACTTTTGTAGACTTTTCATTCTCAAATATAAATAGTTAAAATTCAACCCTCAACCTCAATATTTCAAAGTTTTCTTTCTACCAACTATGAATCTTTTCTTCCTATTTAATTTTAAGAATTTTGTATTACTTTTCTTTCCATTCGCAAATTATATCGTGCACCGCGGTGCATGATCGATCATGCACCGCGCATCAAAACGACGTCGTTTTGTTTAATGAAAAGAAACAGAATCTTCGCAAAAAATAACTCTGTTCTTCAGTTTCATTTTGTATATACTGCAGTTTCAATTCAATACAACTACAGTTTCAGTTCAATACAACTATAGTTTCATTTTGATATAACTACAGTTTCATTTCGATATAACTACAGTTTCATTCAATATTTATACACTCAAATATGTGAAAATGTTATTTAATTTTATTTTATATACACTACTAGTTTCATTAAAACACAACTACATGATCATTTCAATATAATTACAGCTTCATTGTACAATATACACTCAAATATATGAAATGTTATTCAATTTCGTTTTATATATACTGTAGTTTCATTTCACCACAACTACAGTATCATTTTGATATAACTGCAGTTTCATTTGATAATATAAAAATAATACGTGAGACAGTGTCGGTTTAGACACACTATAATATCACTCCATTATAACTGCAAAAATGGCGCCGTTTTGATGCGCGGTGCATAATTGATTATGGACCGCGGTGCACGATATAACGACGGCTTTCTATTTACCCTTGTTTTATTAATTACACCCAAGATTGGGCCATTCGGCCCAGATCCGGATATTTTTTTAAAAAAAAATGTCTTGGGCTTTTAATTCGTTTGGGTTGTGCCTATTTAAATATCTTTAATTTGTTTATGATAAATATTCATATGCTTTGTATTGGTCCACATAATAATTTGCCTTTGTATTGGGAATGTATTTGCATTATTTATATTGTTTTAAAATTTGTATTCAAATTATAATTTGAGTTTGAATTTGAATTTTGTTATTTAGTATGCTCATACATTAAATTGCTATTATGGTTGTGCAATTTATTTGTTTAATATGAATTTATGTGTTAATAATATGTATATTATGTCCAATAAGCATAATGTATAGTTTTTAATTATGCGGTTTATATTTTATGCCTTAGAAATGTATACTTTAGGAATTATTTAAATTTCTTTGTGTTTTGGGCTTTAGCTAGCATATTGCATTTATGGTAGTACATGAAGTTTAGTATTTTTACGGTAGTGCCTGAAGATCAACACATTAAGATCAGTAAGAGTCCACCTAGTCTTAAAGTATTTTCCAAACAATAATGCTATAGTATGAAAATACATGAAACGAAGAAAGTTTCTTGAGAAGCAAACTAGAATATACATGGGCAGAGCCAGTATGGGGGCAGCTACCCCCTCCCCCACCCACCTTACCCTCATATATAGGGGACCTTGTGTGTGTGTGTGGAGAGAGAGAGAGAGAGAGAGAGAGAGAGAGAGGGGGGGGGGGGGGGGGGGGGGGGGAGGGGGAGAGAGGGAGAGAGAGAGAGAGTAAATGTTTAGATATAACTAAATAATTTAGATAAATATTATTTTAAGATGAAGTACCTAGATGGTTAAATATATGTATGTGTTGTAGGAGAGGTTAAAATGTCAAATCTCCTTACTTGATTTAATTGTTTTTCTCAAAATATTTTATTTATTTTAATCTTTCACCCCCACTAGATGAAATTTCTAGCTCTGTCCTTGAGAATAGCCGGAGTTGCTTTTAATGAAGCCAGGGGCGTATCTAGTGTGGGGGAAGCTGCCCCCACTCCCCCACCCCACCCCACCCCTTTATTTATATATATATATATATATATATATATATATATATATATATATATATATATATATTATCTTCTCCTTTTCATTTCTTCACAAGATAAATTGGGTTCAACTCTCATTAGCAACACTTTTAATTATCTTCTCTCTTTCATTTCTTCACAAGATAAATTAAATATTTTTAGTCTATTTTTTATGAATCTTTTAATTAACAAATTAAATAATGCTCTTTTAGTCTAGTTTTTATAAATCATTTAATTAATGTAGTATACAAGTTTATAATATACTTTATTGTACTCGAATTAATTTAGAAAAATCGAATTAACTAAAAGAAATTAAAATTTATAAGTATTTATGAATATATTGTTATTCAAATTATTTTATCTAATTGATTATGTTTCATATTTTCTCATAAATATATTGTAATTTATAATGTATTTTGTATTTTAACCTTATTATAGTTGTTTGATATTTTGTCATTGACATTTCTAACGTCATTTAATATTCACCCCCACTCATATGATTTTCTGAATTCGCCACTGAATGAGGTCCTGTCCCGACCAACTTTCCTGGGAGTATACTTGGTAATCGCCTATCATGTTGATTGCATAATTCGTTTTACTTTTCATAAATCTATGTGAATGTGATAATACAATTTTAGTTAATTAAGGAGTAGCCAATACATCGTTAATTTAATTAAGATTGTATATTAAGCTTTTTCAAATCACATAAAGTTTAGGCATAAATTGCGATTATTATATGTAATATAATGAAAGTTAGCCCACAGGTAATTTTGTTATATTTGTATTTGTATGATTAATCAGTTTAAAATACCAAGCTATTATCATATTTTAGCCCACAAGGAATTATGTATCGGAATCTAGTTTTTGGTAATTTTATCATTAAGAATAGAAATTTAACCTTGTACCCATCTCATTTCTATTCTAAAGTTTTCTAAAGCCATTTGTACGTAAAAATTTAGCTCACATGCAATTTTTATGGCATTTAGATCTTTGACATGCATCATTTACATTGGTAATGTGTGCAATTCAGTTCTTCCTATGCCTCAAAAATTCTACTCCAAGCCTTTAAAATCTTTATAGCATCTCAATCCGTTACTCACACAGATTTGGACATCGAAGTCCCAGAACTTATGGGTGACAACTACAAAAATATAAAAAGAAAGGATTCGTCATATGACATGTAGTGACCTCTCTCATATGGGAGGTCATGAGATCGAGACTCAATGGAGGTGTTGTTGACTCTTTGTGCTTCAACATGTTGAGAAAATATGTCTGGACAAATACTACAGATACTATAATGTAATAGAGCCAGTAGCTTTTCAAAAAAAAATAGATTTTTTCAAATTGATTACCCATTGGTCATTCGACTTTCAAATTGTACACCATCCGTGGTCCAAGTTAACTACTCATGATCTTTACACTTTCAAAATTTAACTAACTGTGATCTTTCTAGAAGGACTACAGATAGTTAAAATTTGATAATTGAAGGATTGTTGATGATTAACTAGGACCACATATAATAATAATTTAAAAGTCGAAAGATTACATATACTCAATTTAAAAATTTATGACTAAACATGACAAAATCAATATATTTGGAGTACCTATTTCGTATTAACTCATATAAATAACTTAATTAATAGTACAACAAAGCAGGAAAAGATATGTTCAAAAATAATTATTATATATAAAAAGCTGCAGCCAGGTTGACATAATATAATTAAGATGAATTCTCTCGCAGGATATAATTATAAAAACATCTCTGTGAGGAAAAACACAAACTTGATTCAATTCTAACCCGTACAAACAATTCTTATGGGTCGGGTTAGAGGGCATTTTACCCGAAACAAGTTCCCAAAAAAAAAAAAAAAAAAAAATACCGATCGGAGTACTAGTAACTAGCCTAGGTGAAGAAAGACGTTTAAAAAAAGAGAAGCTAACAATGCTTCATCTTACGCCATCTTTCTCCACGCAAAACCAAACCTAGATCGATGGATCGGCCGGCCGCCCCGCCGGCGGATATATTAACATGTGTATAAATTGATCTGAGTGGATCGATCGTCTCAGCTCGCAAGCGCGACGGAGTTTCTACCTGAGCATTTCGGTCAAGGAGCGAAAAGCAACTTCTTCGCAAGGAATGGTGATTCCCATGTCGTGATCGAAGCCGAACTCTTCCTCGGCGCGTCGGAGGAGGCACTGAAACTCAGGGTGCGTCAGGAACGAGATGGGGACAACGTATCTGCTGCGGTTTTCGCCGACGTAAACCGGGAAGTGACCCTTAGGCACGTCGTCGTAGCCGTTTTTCTTGCCGAGGCTCGAACACCTTTTGAGGATTTGTTTGAGGACGGCGGTTTGGGCGAGCTTCGCCGGTTTCCTCATGATAGCCATTTTTGTGGATTTCAAAGTGGAAGAGAAGAAAGAAATTAAGGAAGAGAGAAATATTGAAGAATGTGATGGAAGTTGGCAAGGGAAGAAACAATAAAGTAAGTGAATAAGTGATGGGACTAGTACTGATGGTTGAGTGGATTGTGAGGGTATTTATGAATAAACAAAAGGTGCAGTGGGGGGATTCCAATGTGGGGGTGTATACAATAGGAGCAATGGACTGAGCAAGAAGAAAGGCATTCAGGGGACCACATCCTAATAACCGGTTTTGGGTTTTTATATTGTAACCACAGATTTAGGGCAACACCATTGGTTCTCATTTTTATTTTTATTTTTTCGCATATTTAAAATAAGGAAAATTCACAATTACTATTTGAGAGTCTTTCATGATATGATGAATCACGTTTTTATAAAATACTTCTTTCTTTTGATTTTTTTTTTTATTCTAAAAAAAAAGAAGCAATATGTGCACCAACATTGTACGCGCTCCAGGACGATGTTTCGCACTTAATCCTTGATATATATATATATATATATATATATATATATATATATATATATATATATATGTTAAGGATCATGTAAGAACAATACTATATGAGAGAAAAAAAAAAAATCAATCTTAGCCTAACATCTCTAAAAATTCAACGAATCTGAACAGATTAAAAAAACAAAAAACTATTGTGGCATTTATGCAATTATCATAAACTTTACTATACAAACTTCAACACTTAAATATGTAATCTTTAACAACTAAATATGCAAACTTTGGTAAATTCTATAAAATCAACAAAAAAAAAATTAAATTTTAAATCTAAACCGTAAATGCTAGACCTTAAGCAATAAAAAGTGAACCACTAAGCCAAATAAAACAAAAAATTAAGTCATAAACTCTAAAATCGAAACACTAAGTACAATTCACTTTCGCATTTTTATAAGTGCAATCTTTTAATACTAAATATGCAGAATGTTAATACTAAATGTCCAAAATTTTAATACTAAACGTGCAAACCTGAAAAAGTCTGAGAATTGAAGATTTTAGTGTTTAAGTTTGCATACTAAAGCTGGTGATAATTATGAAATGTCACCGTTTTTTTTAAAAAAAAAATTCATCTAATCCATCCAATTTTTCCATATGTAAAATTGGTTTTTATTTCTCTCATAAAAACTTGTTCTCATTTGAGCAATCATTATTACATAGACCATGGTCCACACAATTGTGTTGACCATAAATGAAAAGTACATTTTTAATATACTAAAAGTACATTATAAGTACACTATTTGTGTACTGAAGATACATTATTTGAGTACTGAAAGTACATTATTTTATATATACTATCAAATAATAATTTACCTTCAGTACACAAATAATGTACTTTTAGTATATTAAAAATGTACCTGATATTCATGGTCCACACAACTACGTGGACCATGGTCCACACAATAAATTGCCTCATTTGATCTATTATATATATATATATATATATATATATATATATATATATATATATATATATATATATATATATATATATATATATATATATATATATATATATATATATATATTGTGTGTGTGTGTGTATGTATATGTCAACTCGAATGCGGCCATGCTATAACGTGTGGTCGGTAAGGCCGCACCATTAGGTATGTAAAAATGCACCAAGCGTGTTAGAAAAGCACAATAATGAAATGCATCAATGCACCACAAAAAGCACCGCATGCCAATAAAATGCATCATACCACCCCACACCTATAATTGTGCATTTTTGAACACTGTGTGGTGCGTTTATGCATACCTAATGGTGGATTTTTTTGTTGTATTTGGACATTTTTTGTTGTGCATTTCCTAACACTTTTGGTGCGTGTTTGCGTACCTAATGGTGCGGCCGCACTGACCCCATGTTAAGACCTGACAGCACTGGATTTTGCCATATATATATATATATATATATATATATATATATATATATATATATATATATATATATATATATATATATATATGTTCAAATGCGGTTGGTGCGCCCAGGTGCGGTGAGAGGAGAGTTATTGATTTTGCTTAAATCAACGCCCATGATTATCTTTAAAAAAAATGCGGTGTCAATTTGGTAATTTTTTCATCTAAGTCAAATTTAGGGTGCGTGATTTTTGTGCTTAAGGTGCGTTAGTTTTGTGCTTAAGGTGCGTGTGTTTTGTGCTTAAGGTGCGTGAATTTTGTACTTAAGGTGCGTGGGTTGTATACTTAATGTGAGTAGTTATTGAAACTTAAGGTGTGTGGGTTTTGTGCTTAAGATGCGTGAGTTTTGTGCTTAAGGTGCGTGACTTGTGCTTAATATGATTATATGAGTAGTTGTTGAAACTTACCGTGCGTGAATTTTCTTCTTAAGGTGCATTGTTTACTTTAATCTAAACTTAGGGTCTGTTTGGAAACCCGGAAAGTGATTTCTGGAAATCATTTTTCGGGTTTCTGGTGTTTGGCTAGGCTGAAAAATGAAAAGTCAAAGGAAAATAAGGACTGATCAATGGAAAATGACCTCAATTTTCTGGAAAATGACTTCCTTTTTTTTTTTTTTTTGGAGGGGGGGGGGGGGGGGGGGGGGGGGGAGGGGGGGGGGGAAGTCATTTTCCGGAAGCTGCTTTGGGCGTAGAACTACTGTCTTTGGTGTCTGGCCGGCCAGACACCAGAGAGCAGTGCTCTCTGGTTTCCGGCCGCGAAAACTAGAGAGGGCTTCTCTCTGGTTTCCGGCCGCGGAAACCAGAGAGGGCTTCTCTATGGTTTTCGGCCGGAAACCAGAGAGCTTTTCTCGGGTTTCCGGTTGAAAACCAGAGAGAACGGCGGAACTGTAATTTTTTTTTTAAAATTTTTTATAAATAATATTACTTGATTTAAAAAATAAATATTATTATTTATAATATTATTATAACTTTTTATATTTTAAACAAAATAATTAATTCTATAAAATGTTTAATTATACAATTCTACCTCATTTTCCATAAAATGAACCAAACACACAAAGACAGTTTTCTGCTGTGCAGCCAAACACAAGAAATGAAAATATTTTTCGAAAAATGACTCATTTTCCAAAAAACATTTTTCAGAAGTTATTTTCCTGCTTTCCAAACGGACCATTACAAATTCTTTTCAATTTTACTATTCTTCTTTTTATTTTTTATGGTTAAATGCAATAATTTGTACACTATACTTATTTGTTGAACACTTAACAATTTTTTTTTTTAGATATCCTCATCATAAGGGGCAGAGCCACCATTCCTAGCTAGCTAGGGTTTTTGAGTACTCTCTATCCACCAAAAAACTTATTTGTGTTAATTGTGTATAGTATCCCTACAAACATATCCTTTTAATTTTACATTGAGCATTTATTTAATCACGAAAGTAGATATTTAACTTAACTAGTAATGGGTAATAAGAGATAATATTAAATAGAAAAATATCATTTATTTTCTTTTCTAATTATATATATTGAGACAAAATCATTATGAGGATTCATAAATATACCAAATACAGAAGAAATGGTGATCTTTTAAGAGAGAATAGATTTCTTCACACTCCACACACAGTGGTAGGTAGGAGCATGAACAAAGTTTTCAATCTATTCCATAAATACCCATCATCACGTTACCAGCTGGAATTATTGCCTCAAACGCTTATGCATTTTGATGGCGTCCGTTGGACGTTTTTAAAAGTTTATGGCATCCCCTGTGGTGGTCCAGTCAAGATATTTTTTATTCTCTTCCCGTCTTCTCCAAAAGGTTGAATTCTTAATCCTAAAGATCCCCGTATTTCGCTCCAACAAAACATTTGAAAGGATGTATCTTACGGTTGTTGGAAAAATAACATTAAAATGACATTTTAATTAGCTATTTTGTGGTACAATTAGTAGTGGGGTCCACTTTCAATTTGGGTCGTGACAAAGTGGATTCGGATTCTTCGTAGTGAGACGAAGAGACTGATATATTGTACGCTTAAAACGAATAATGGGTAAATGAGATATTGATTCTTAAAGTAGATCCATTGGAGTTGGAAAATGAAGGGAAAAGGTGAAGCTTTTGTCCCACATTGGTTTGGGAAGTGAATTGCACCACTATTTATAAAAAACTCTTTTAGGAAAATACTTGGTGTACTCCCATTTTAAACTTCCAACTTGTACTCCCTCTCACATGCTCTTGATGTAGACATTTTTCAGGGAGTAGAATTTTAAGAGTCTATGTAGTAGAACTCGCTCTTTTAAGGCTTATTGAATTGTATAGCATAGAGGCTCATTCTCGCTCACAAGGGGGTGTAAATCAAATCTCAAAGTGAGCCTGAAAAGGCTAGCTACTGAAGTGGTTCGGAGCGGTGCGGTTCATCTCAGCGGTGAACGCCAGTCTTCCGGATGGAGCGGTTCGTCCGCTCAACGGTGAACCTCCACGCGGTAGATGTCACTCGGATCGGAACGGTCTGAGCGCGGTTCACGTCCACCGGAACGGTACGTGTCTGTATTGTTCATCTGACTGTTTGGTGGATTGATTCAGTTACGGAATTAATCTCCATGTAGTTTTGAAGGTTATAATCTGATTTAAATTGGATTTAATGTCGTTGTTGAATGCTATTTACACCTCAATCTCCTATATAAGTTTGTTGTTGGGGCAGCAGATTTACAAGCAAGAAAGCGAAAAAGAGACACAACACACACAATAGTTTTTACTCTATCAAAATTTTGCTCATACTCTGTTCTTGCCGATTGTGTTCTGCCCATGCTCTAGTTCGCCGGGTTCGTTCGTTTGGGTGCTCAAACGTCGAACCGTAGTACGTTTTTATCCTGGGAAACCTAGGCCACAACACTCCTGACACTTTTTGGGAGGTGGCAAATAAGATTTTAAGGAAAAATGGTGTTTCGCTCAACTCGTACTTACCACTCTTCTTCGTCTTCTCTCTTCTCCGATTTTGGGATTATGCTTTTAAGCAATAAATCCTTCGTTTCCTTTTGGTTGGAATTATAATATGTGGATTATAACTTCCATTTTGGTTGATATATATATTTTTTACGTGTATATATATATATATATATATATATATATATATATATATATATATATATATATATATATATATATA